GACGACGGCAAAAGTAAATTACTTAACTTAAAAGTAATCTCGAAACTTAAGTTTATTAACTTTTAAATTATTCTTTTAACACTTTCGAAAAAATAAAAATTAGTTTATAAAACTATTTTTTAATTTGTTTTTTTATTTTGTTTTTTTTACTTTCTTATCTTTTCTTTGTTTTATATTTATTTTATAAAAAGACGTGCTTTTAATAATTATTCTTTTTGTTTTGGTAAAGAAAAGTATTTCTTACGTTTGTTCTTTCACTTTTTAAGCTTGCTTTTTATTATATTCTCTGTTCTTTCTTTATTCTTTTCACTTTACTAGCTATTCACTTGTTTTATATAAATTGTTTTTATTGTTTAATTATTTTTTTTACTTATTTTAAGCTTATACGGCTATTTCTTATTTCTTATTTAAAACTGTTTTTTTGTTTTAAGCGTGCTTAACTACGTATATTCGAAAGTGAATTGCTATTAAAAAGAATAAGTCCTTTTTATAAATATACTTATATAAAAAAGCCTTCTTTTTTTTCTTCTTAACATTTTCTTTTTTTATATAATAACAATTATAATAACACTATTACTTCTTTTTTTCAACTATATAATATTATATTAATATTAACGACTTTTAATCATCACTTGATTAATTACTATTATTATTAACTTTTTATTCCGTTATCTTATGTTTAGCTCGTAAACCGTAGTTTACGAGTTAGATATGCTTCTTAAGTCAGCCGCCGCTAAAGAAAAAGCTTTTATCCGTAATACACTTTTTAACTTATTAATAAGCGAAAAGCAAGCTGCTTTAGCTTGATAATCAAGTTTCGAATTGAAGTTCGAAAGACGAGTTATTAAGACTTTCGATAAGTTCTTTTAAACTTACCGTTAAATAAGCAACTTTAATTAATTAATTATACTTAAAGTAGCAACTTCCAACTTTAATAACAAATTAAGTAAAAAAGATAACTTGATCTTGCAATACGATTAGTTTTTACGAGCCGAATACGTAAAAAAAAATATAAACGCTAAAAACCTTTTTTCGATTTATAATTAATTTATTATTAAAGTTACCGCTATCTATTCTTTACGTAATAAAAACGTTAAAAGATATAAACGAATTAAAAAAGCTTTCGACGGCGCTCGAAAGCAATTGCTATATAACGATTACTTTAAAGTTGTATGCACTTTAATCCGTAGCGCTCGCTAATTAAGCGTTATTCTAAAGAACTGCACTTTTAACGCTTACGTTATTTAAGTTATTAATTATTATATTATTACTTACGTCGCTTTTTAAAAGATTATAATTAATATAACTCGAAAACGTAAGTTCATTAAGCTTAATGCTACGATAGTCAACTTTATTTGCTAAGCCGTAAAAAACAAAAACAATATCAAGTAAAAAGATAAGATCGCTATTCTTAACGAAAGACTTTTAAAAAAGCTAAAACTAAAAGTCTTATTATATAGCTTATTGATTTTAGCTTTCGATAATATTAAAAGCGAATACGACGAGCTTAAAGAACGTATAAAGTTTGCCGACGAGAATTAAACTTAGAATTTCGTTTTATAAAAAAAACTCGAATTCGAAATTCTACTCGTAAATTATAATTCACAAGTAAAAAATAATTTAGCAATTAAAGCGAAATTAAATCAACCTTTTGCGCTTAAAACCTTTTTGCTTAAATTACTTATTACGCGCTTTTCGCTATTATTAACTTTGTTTTAAAGATCGACGTTATCTTTTGCTAATAAGCTTTCGAACGCTAAACTAGTTGCTTCGATTATATTTATTTTACGCAAGTCTATCGACGCGAGTTCTCTTTTAGCTTTTAGACTTAAAGTATAACGCGACCTTCTCGAGAACTAGCTGCTATTAATACTATTTATTAAAGAAAAAGACAGCTTTAAATACGAACTAATTAAAGCTATATCGAACCGCTGCTTAAGACTCGTCGAGATTAAAAACTTTATAAGTATAGACGTAGCTTTTATTAACTTTTGTTAAGACTTTTATTAATTAGCTTTCGATCGCTTAAACTTAAACGAAAATATCGATAATGCTTTTTAAGTTGCTGCGGAATCAATTAAAAAAGCTATTAACTAGATCCGCAAGCTTTTAAAAGACGAATTTTTTAATAACGCGATCTTACGACTCTTCGACCGTCGTAGCTAAGTAAAAATAAATAAAGAAAAAAGCAAAGTAATAAACTACTTCTTATTATCCGAGATCTTTAATTTAAGCTTTAATAACGACGATTGCGATTGTATAAAAGTCTTTTAAAAAGTAAAAAACGTATTAAAATTTAAAGATAAATTTAAAGAACTCTTTAACTTAAACGTTTAAACGAAGCTCCGCTTTAACCGCAAAGTCTTACCGTCCGCTATCGATTTATTAAATAAAGTCTTTTACGAAGTCTATACTTTCGAATACGTTAAATACTTTAAGCTAGCTACGAAAAGCTTTATAATAATAATGATCCGTTTTAATTTATATCGATTCATCGAAGCCTTTTAAACTAACGCTTTTAATAACTTTATATTTTATTCGAGCAATTAATCGATATTCGTTATTAAAACCAAAAGCAATACTTTAATTAAAAAAATATTTAGCTTAAGCTTTTTTAAGTTTAAAGCTAAGCCGATGTCCTTTAACAAATTGAATTAAAGCATTAGCTTAATAAGCATTACTTAAAAGAATAGCTTTTTTAATATTATAAATGCGAGTAGCTATACGAAAGTTTAGCTTATATTAAAAGCTTTCTTTTTAAACGATAAGCACGGCAACTAAACCTTTTTTACTATTATAAATAAAAAGATCTAGATATACTTATACTACTTTCGAATTAATAATTTAAAAAGAGCTTCGATTAATACATTTTTTAATATAATGCACTCTTTGACCTAGCAAGTCTTTTAAAGCTATTATAAGCTATACCTTGCTGCTTTGCTTAATCGCCGAGACGGGAATTATAAGCTTATCGTTTACTCGGAACCTTTTCAGCTTTTTAAATACAATAATAATGCTCGAGTGATTACGACCAAATACGACGCTAATACTAAACGACTCGTGAACCGTAGTTCACGAATAAAAAACAGAGTTTTAAATTATTACTTAATGCTTTACGGCGTAAAGAATTAAATCAAAAGCTTAGCTATTTAACTTAAAAGCTATACTTACGACACTACTTTTAAAAAGACCGCTAAATAAAAAGCTTTTAGACTTAAGTCGAAGACCTTAAATGCTTTTAAAAACATTGCGCTACGTTAACCTTTCGCTATAATTAATAATCTCGCTACTTTTATATCCGTTATTACGAAACAAAATGTTTTCTTAAATATAAACGCTTTTTAAAATTCTTTTTGCGAATAAGCAATCTTTTTTAATAATTACACCGCTTTATTAAACGATAATACTTTAAAAAATAAAGTCAACTTTATAAAGCACGCTTGCACGATCGTCTTAAAACGCATGCCGCTAACCTTTCGATAAAGAGTTATTAATAAGTCAAGCTAGCTCTTCGCCGCTATAATCTAATTAAACTACGTTAGTTTCGTATTAAAAGCTTTAATCGAAAAAATAAATTAAAACGAACTTCGAATAGTAAAAGAATTAATTATTATTTTTGTTATATCTCGAACTTAGTTTTAAAAACACTTTATTAAGTATAAAAAAAAGTTGTTTTCGGCATTTAAAAAAGGATTTGCTATTATCTTAAATGCTAAAGCTAAGACTTACGGAGCTAAATCTTTTTTTAAAAGCAAGAGCCGCCGAGCTAACGACCTTATAAACGCCGACAAGTTAAAGGATTTTAAAAAAAGCTTGCGATCGATTAAGTTGTCTTTCGACGACTTTGATTTAAGTATAAAGATTACTTTAAAAAGTGCGAAATCTATTCGTAAACTACGGTTTACGAGCTAAATCGACGATCTTAAAGCATTATTTTCTTAACCGGAATCTTTAAACCGCGTATTCGATAAAGTTATAAAAGCTTTAACTAACTTGCTTAAAAACGAAAACGACTTAATTAATAGCTTTAAACTTTATTTTAGCTTCGCTAACTTTCCGTCGGCCAAGTTTATACTTATTAACGATGCTATTAACAAACGCAAAAACGATACGCGCTTTTTTACTTTTAAAAATGCTGCTGCTAGCACGTTATCGTTTAATACTAGCCTTGCTAAAAGGAAAAGACCTTTTTAGCTTAAAGAAAACGAAAAAGTTAAAGACGTAAGCACGGAAAAAGATTATAAAAAAGCTGCTAAAGCGTAGTTTAAATGTTTAAACGTTTAAAGTTTAAAAATAAAATACTTTTTTTTTTTTTATATACTAGATTTTTCTTTTTTTTATTACTTTCTTTTTTTTCTTTTTTACTTAATAGTAAGCGGGGGCGCTTACTTATTCTATAAGAAGACGGATATAAACACTTTGCTTAATAAAGTACTTGCTATAGCTATTAAGGCTACATTAGACGGACCTATCTTTTATAAAAAGGCACACATCTTTTAGCTAGAACAATCAACGAGCTTTCTACTTACTTTTTTTGACACTTTTTTTGTGAGACCATAAGGTCTAGCCTTAAAGCCAGGCTTTTGTACAGCACATCTTTTTGGGTGCTTCTACAGCGTATCTTTACTAAGCTTCGCTACGTCGATATTCATAATATATAGCTGCGCTAAGAGTATTTTAAAAAGAGCTTTTAAGTTTAATATCTTTTTATTAAAGAAATGCACGTTAACGGTCTTATAAAGAACTTGACTCGACAAAAGTTTAAAAGCTTTATTAAGCTTTTAAATTTACAAAACGCTCGCGCGTTAGTCGAAAAGCTTTAATAGCACGCATATACTATTCATTTATTACATTTCATTTTTTTTTTTTTATACGTAATTTAAAAGAAAACATCTATTTAGCAATCTTAACCGTTATTTTATCTTATCTTATACGCTTTTACTTTTCGCTTTTTATAATAAAAAATCGATTAAAGCTTTTAGCAATCTCTTTACTTTAGCTTAGCGCTTCGTAAGAGTTATAGCAACGGCGAGCGCCGCCGCGAGAGCGGCAAGCGCAACGACTAGCGCAAAAAGAGCGACGATAATAAGTGCGACGAAAGCGACAGGAGCAGCGAAAGCGACGGGAGCAATAAAAGCGGCTAGCGTAAGCGCAAAGGCTGCTATAGCAGCAGATTAAAGCTTTTGCATAAAGTTCGAAAGGAAATTTTAATTAAAAGGAGCTGCTTAAATTAGATCATTTCGTAAGTTAAAGAGCTTGACTTACGAAAAGGTAATATGCTCGAAGCGCTCCGCGTCACTAGACTACAGTTCGCTATTATAAGACTATTTAATCTAATAAAAGCTACATTTAAATTAAAAGTCTTAAAAGCAAAAGCAAAACTTATAAAGCTATCGAAACTACTTTTAAAACCTTTATTTTTACTCGCTAGACCGCCCGGACTATTAGCAGCACTTCTTAAAAGAGCAGCATCTAAAGCGAGTTATTATCGCATAGCATTTCGGAGACTCCGGCGAACTCTTTATATAGCACTATTGTCTTTAGCGCTTACGAAGTTATCGAAAGCGGTATTAATAGCGGCAAAAGCAACGGTGCAGTTGCTATAGCTACTTTTAGCATATCGGAGACAGCGAATAACGCTCGTATCGCAATTATAATAGTTTTTATTAGACCTCGATGTGATCTTATTATTAATGCACTTTATATATCTTAAAGCTTTGACGGTCGTTAATATAAGCAAGCGCTTAATAAAAAGGTTTAAAAGAAAAAGCGAAGCTTCGAAGGTAAGAGTGCGTAATATAGCCGCTGCAATCGCCGCAATTGCAGCAGCAGTAATAGCTAAAGCAAAGAAAAGATTCTTTTAATAATCAGCATAGATATATTAATTTATTAAGAGCACTTACTTTTAGACGGCCTCGGCCGCGCTTAACGATTCTATTAGATTGAGTTACTTACTTAAAAAGCATTGTGTAAATAAATAAAAGTTAAGTGTTTGTTATAAAAAAAAAAACGCGCTTTTACTTATATAGCAACGCGATAAAGACGGCGCTAAAGACTTCCGCTACGTGATAAGACCGATTTAAAAAAGAATTGTATTTTTAACTAACACTCAATTAATAATAACAACCGCTATTTGTTTGTTTAAATTGCGATAACAATCTCTTTTGTTTATATCGAGTTTAAAAAGCTTAATCACTTATTTTTTTTCTTTTCTATTTGCTTGCAGCTCAATAGCTACGCTACTAACTTAAAAGATGTATTATGCGAAACAAGCATAGTTCTACTTAAGCTATATATAACATATCATGTGACTTCGCTTAGTAGCGCTTTTAACACACTAAAGCTCTTAAGTACATATACATAGATCTTGACGAGCTTCTTAAATAGAATATACCAAGCTTTATTTAATCCATAGAATCTCCTCCTGATCTTAGTGCTAGTAAGCACTATAATATATTATATTATACGTTTGCAAGTGATCTTCTTTAAGTTTAACGTTTTTTTAAGTCCGATTCTATATCGATAGTAATAAGCAATCGAAGAACTTCTACTTTAATTGCTTATCGGTAATATCTTTATTAACGAAGCAAGTAAAGCTCGTAAAGTTGAACTATCGGGTGAACTATAAAAGCTCCGCTTTAAAAGCTCTTTCTTTTATTATCTACTTATTACTTAAGTCGTTCAAGAAGCTAATACTATCTTTTTACTTAGCTAAGTCGAAAGCCTTATACTTTTTTTTAACTATCGATTTAAAGTCGTTTTAAATTACTTTCGGATTCGAAAAGCCGCCGAAGCTTTCGATATTACAACGTATATTATAATCGAAAGGGCTAGAAATATTATATTTAGCAAAGCACTGCTTCTTTTCCGAATCGATAACGATATTATAGTCCTTAAACGCTCGTTCGAGCTAGCGAATATAGTCCGTAATATTAGCTTTATCGAAAGCAAGTATTTTAAAAGCTTTAAGTTTAAAAAGAAGTCTACGAATACTTACGTAATTCGAAGCATTTACGAAAGGTGAGTGTCGGTATCTCTATATCGACCTTAGCTAGTAGTAGTAGTAGTAGTAGTAGTTAAGGAACTCACCCGTGAACCATGGTTCACGGGCCACTTAGCATGCCTCGCTTAGTATATCAGCAGTTAAAGGACCTCCAACTTGACTAGTAAAACTATTAGCTAGCTAATATACGTGATTCTTTTTAATCATATAAAAAGAATCAGCTCTTTTAAGCCTTAAAGAAAGGACAGAATTCAGATACTTTATTAACCGAGTGTTTTGCAATTGCAAGTACTTTAACGACCTTACGAAGTTACGAATATATTCTTAATCGCTTAAAAGCAATTTAACACTAATTAATAATTAATTTATTATTAAGTGATCAATTATAAAGAAGCTAAGAATACTTTATAGCGAAGATACTTTTTATTACGATACTTCCTTCTTTTTATAACGGAAAAGCGATTCCGTATTAAGTCGCTTTTTATATTATCGATTTTCTTTATCTTTACGAAAAAGTGATTCCGAACTAAGTTACTTTTAAAACAATAACTTCAACGCTATAAAAAACGCACTTGTTACATATAACACTTTAACTAAATTTAAATCGACTTATATATATATAAATAATAATTATAACCGATCGAGCAATTAGATTTTTAAGTAAAGAGTTTAGCCGATAAAAAACAATAAAGTATTATACTTTTCGAATCTTTTTATTACTTACGGAACCTTTAGTTATTTAATTAAAAAGACTATTATACTTAAGATTCTTAAGCCTTTCGAAAAAACTAAACGACGAAATGTTAAGCATCTTATTTAACTTAAACGAGCTATTATACGCAAAGTTAAATAATAAGATTACGGCTCGAGCAATAGTAAAAGACTTTTTAAATGCAAAGTATAAAAAGCTAAAGGATTACGACTTATAAAGCTTGTTCCGGCACGCTTTCTTACGTTAAGATTAAACGAGTTTTACGATAACGAAAGATAATACGAAACGAAGCTTTAAGTTTATTACTTTTATTAACTTTAAAGAACACTTGCTATTTAAAAGCGTATAATGCTTTTTAAAGCAAAAGGGCTACGCTAATAAGATGGTCAAGCTCTTAAACGACGAGCAGCAGCATTAGTAGACTTACGAAGAAATAAAAGAGCAATAAACAATACTTTTAAGCTTCGATTTAAAATAAACCGCCGAAAACTTTACGAACGACGAAGATATTACACTTCAATTTCTTTTACTTTCGCGAAGCTTAAAAAAGAAAGAAAAAGAGACTTTAAGTAAAAAAAAAAAGAAAAAGAAATCCGAAAGTTACGAAAAGAATTTTTAAAAAAGAAAAAAGATATAAAACGAAATATAAAAGCTATAGCAAAGCAAATAGCGGAATTACGAACTTACGCTATATAATTTAACGAAAAGCTACGACGAAGCACTTTAGCGTACTCGACGCTTTTAATTTATCAATCGCTACGCAATACGCTAATCATATAAAAAAAGCTAAAATCATTTTAATAGCTTTTAAACTTTTTTTTTAAAAGCTATAACCGAGTTTCTTAAAAACTAAGACCGAGTAATAATAACAACGGCTTCGAAAATATAATCGAGCTTAATAATACGCAAAGCAATAGCAGTTATACGTTAAAAAAAGACTCGTTAAAACTTAAAAGCATTCCAAATAAAATTAGCTTTTATTAAAGATAGCGTGCAGATTTCCGTGCTTAACTTTAATAATTCGAAAAAAAGATCTAGTACTTTCGAACGTATCGATAAGCTTTTTAAATCTTTTAATAAGCTACGTATCGATAAAAAAGATATTAAAAGTATAAGAATCGCTAAGAGCGCGCTTAAAAGTACAAATACTATTAAGCTAAAGCTTTAATTAGTGATTCGAGTAGCTTTAGCGATCTTAACGATAATCGACGAAAAAAGAACGAAAAAGATTAATAAAAAGATCGAAATTATAAGTACGGAAAAAGTAAAAACGGTTTTCTTAAACTATTAAAAGGATTCGGAAACGGACTTTTAAAAGACTTCGAATTCGGAAATGAGCCTTTTAAAGACTTTAAAAAAAGACGGACTATTAGCAATTATATCGGTAACTTTTTACCGATCAAATTATTAATTAAGCATAATACACTTGCGTACGGCACTTTAAGCGCTTTTAACGATAATAAAAATAATTTCTTTAAATTAAGAATAGCAGACCTTTATTTAAAAGCGAAAGAATTAGCTTTATTCGCGTAAAGCTTTTTTAAAAAGCTAAAGTATTTAAAACCCGACGATAACTTTAAGACTTAATTAAAGATTTTTATTAATTAAGCAAATCGATACGGTTTAATTTCCGACGATTATTTAACGGCGTTCTCGATTATACTTATAAAAGAGATTATAACCTTTTATTATAATTACGTTATTAAAGCTAAGCTTTCGACTTTTAAAGCAAACGCTATTGCAATAAAAGACTATTTCGAAACTAACTACCGGCGGCAAGTAAAATACGATTGCTAAAAAGAAATTTCGTTAAATTTAATTAAAAAAAAGAATTTAAAAACCTCGCTTAACGAGTGCTTCGAAAAGCTCGTTAAAAAGCTTAAAAGGATTTAAAGCTCTTTACGACTAAGTTTAAAAAATGATCGAAGTTTTATTAACAAGCTATATTCAGCTTATAAAAACGTATTAAAAACTACGATTATACGAATAAACTTTGCTTTTACTTTTATCGCGGCAATTGCTAATATTCGTCGAGCAATTGCGTTTATTATTAAGACTTCTCGACTTTTTGCTAAAGCTAAAGCTTACGCGAGCTTTAACGAGTTATACGATCACACTTGCTTTTATAACACTTTAAAAGCTAACTCCGATTTAAACGAAGAATACGAATACTTTATTTAAAACCGCTAATACTTCGAAAGTAAGAAAGCTGCTAAAGCTATTAAAAGTAAAAAAAAGTGTTTTGCTTATAAAAAGCTAAGTTGTTAAAGCATTAACTATACTTTTAACGAAAGAAAAGCATCCGTCGTTAAGTTCTAAGCTTTTAAAGACGCAAAAAAAGTGACGAAAAGCAAATTCTTTTAATACGTAGCATCGATTAAAAGCTTGCTACTTGTATCTACGAAAGAATTCGATTAGTTCATCGCAAGCTTATTAAACGAGCCGCTCGAATCGAGCAACTACGCTAATATATCGAAAGGTTTTATAATTACTTACGACACTTTTAACGCTAACGAAGTATATAAACAACTAAAGATTTAAATAACATTTTACGCTTTTACTAGCTAAGTAAAGACTTAAAAAATGCTCGAGCAAGATCCGCGTATGCCCGCGAGCAAAGCAAAGACTTATATAGCTTTTAAGTACTTTGAAAACGTATTTATAAGCTTTATAATTAATAGCGGAGCAGCTAATTTTTTTACCGCTAGCTTGCTTTAACTACGAGCACTTTAAAAGAAGTACTTCGAAGTTTAATTAAATACATTTCGAGCAAAAAAAAAGTCCGTTAAATACGAGATCGGCTTTATTATTTCTATTAAAGCAATTACTTTAAGTACTCTTTTAAATCAAGTAGAGTTTTACGTTATAAAAAACGACGTACTTTTTTTATTTTTATTAGCTAATATAAATAAGCTTAAAGTAATTTTAAATAACTTATAAAACGTGCTAGTTTAAAAGAAAAAAGAAATATTAATAATAAAGATGTTTAAGTACGTATAAATGCTATTAAGTAAAGAGCACGCTGCTACTTATTATAGCACCGAAAGCGAGACCGTCTATTATTACTTTACGGAAAAGCAATTAAAAATTATCTATAAGCGTTTTAATTACTTTTTAGCAAGTCGATTTGCTGCCGTTCTTAAAAGGGCCGAGCACGAATTTAAACGGGATTTGCTTTATAATATCTAAAAGTTTTGCTATTATTATTAAATATTCAAACGTTCTTCGAAAAAGTTTAATATTAGACTTAA